ACCAACGAATAGTGGGATTGGCTGTCACATATAAACCCCCCCCCCCCCCCCACGGCTGAAAGGGCGAACATGTTTGGTGTGACGGGGAATACAAGTTGCCGAAAATTAAGAGTATTGTATTTAGGTGGTTTTTGCACAAAGAAATTACAATATCAAGATCAACAAAAGTTTTGTTTATCAGATATTGATGTTAATGTCATATCTCTCTCACACACAACTCACAATATCGAAACAAAGGATAGGGATAATTGTTTCATCTTACCATCAACAAAGGGACTTCACGTTACTAGTTTAATGTATATATTTAGGATTAACCTAAATCTGCTACATTATCCAAGTCAAGTATAATTTTTAACAAATCTTAAAGGTGCACACTTAGGCATCAGCCTAAACAACTGAAACTTTTACCAGAATATTGACCCACAGTGTTGTTTAGATTATTTGATACATCTACTTATATTTTTTATTTATAGCTAGCTGGAGTACTCGTCTCCTGGACGGAAGTTATGTAAGTTCGTGATTAATGAGACCGCAATCTAAGGTCTCAAACATGCTCGCTCTTTCAGCCGTGGGAGCGTTATAATGTGACGGTCAATCCCACTATTCGTTGGTAAAAGAGTAGCCCAAGAGTTGGCGGTGGGTGGTGATGACTAGCTGCCTTCCCTCTAGTCTTACACTGCTAAATTAGGGACGGCTAGCGCAGATAGCCCTCATGTAGCTTTGCGCGAAATTCAAAACAAACAATTGTGATTAATGAAAGGTTATTTTATACGTTATTGTAAAAAACGCCCATTAAAACAGCAAAACACAAATTTTCATATATCTTCCCATGGACCCAACAAACCTTCATATTAAATTTGATGAAGATCCATCAACAAGGGGGGCAAAGTAGTGGTATAAAACTAAAAAACGCCCATAAAAACCATAACACGCAAAACTGAATATCTTTATGCATCTCCCCATGGACCTAATGAACCTCCATACCAATTTTGGTGAAGATTTATCCACACCCTGTGAAGTAGTTATATGGACATACAACAGACAGTACAGTGTACTATTGTATCTATATAGAATTGATTATATGCTTATTTATTATTATGATTATTTTGCATTGTTAGTTTAGTATATGGCTTTAAGACTAACTTAAACTTCCTGGGCTGACCGAACCTCGTGAATCGTTATTGGGTTTACTGCCGAAAATATCGTTAACTGATGAAACAATGCACTATAATCATTGTAAGCAGAATAGTGAACATTATATTTAATTGGCTATGTTCGTTATTAAGCATATATTTTTAATTCTGATATATTTAGGTAGCTTGCTTTGATCAGAAGTTAATATTAAAAACATTCTGAAATACAGAAGCGAGATAAAGCCAAGAATTCTAGATACATTTAGTTTATTAATATAATATTGTATCTGCAAAACGTTTTATTGGTAAAAGGGCAATTTATAGAAAATTATTGGCAACTCTTGTATTAACCATATTTCTAGAAGATTTGAATACACTTGACAGAAATATGTGGTGTACATGATAAACCTAAAACCCCACCACACTTGTTTGAACGAATTATTATGTAATATCAAATTACCTTTGGGGCAAATGCTTGAATACCATTAAGATAACAAATTTTTCTATATTTAATAGCACGTGATCAGTACTATGAGTTTTGTATCACTATAATACACATTTAACTAGAGGGGCAGGCACTCAGTAGAGTGCATATCTCCGCCATGCAGCGTTGATCATATTCAGCCTAAATAAATACCAAAATATGTGCTTTATGTCCGTCGTTATCAATGGACACTGACCACTTTTGGCAGGACAAATGAGGAATAATATTCTACACATGTCCACCAAGCTTCATCAAAACCCAATCATCTTTGACTGAGTTATAGAGCAAATATAGTGTGAAAAATCGGTCCCCATGTTAACAGATGGGGATTTTTTGGATTTTCGTGACCTTGACCATCCAAAAACTAATCACTTCTAAGTTGGGTCATAGTCCAAATGTATGCTAGCTTTCGTCCAAATCATTGAGCCATTTTCGAAAAATCTTGCTGACAAACACACAAACAAACAAATACTCAAGGATGAAAACATAACCTCCTCCCACCATATAATAAAAGTATTCCAAAATAATTACATAATTAACAATTGAATATAACGGTATTTTGTAATATACACATTTCACATTGGAGCTTTAAATGTGAAAATTGTTCGTTTGTTTCAGAATTTCGCGAAAAGCTACCAAAAGGTATCTGTGTATAACCATTTCAGAATTTGAAAAGATAGACTAGAGGGAAGGTAGCTAATCAACAGCACTCATAACCAACTTTGGTCTGATCGAATAGTGGAATATGACTGTTACGTTTATAGCACATTCACGGCTCTAAAGTAAGTTCTGCAAATCCCAAAAAATACAAAATAAACACTTTAAACTGTCGATTTTCTCAAATATGGGAAGTTTATTATATAACATTTTACTGTAAACGTTTCTTGATCAAAACATACGAATTCAGAATCTTAACGTTACCTCAACAGCATTTCTGTCCTTCCAGTTGTGCCCCCATTAGCACAGCGGCAACTCTTGTGGCTTATAACGCTCGTGATAGGCACAGCACAGATAGCCCTTTATGTAACTTTGTGCTTAACAACGAACCCAAATACAAACAAACCTCCTGTTGTATACGTAAAAAGATATTAAATGACATGCTGTGCCAGTTTTGCCATTGTACAGACATAATTATATACACAACATTCAAACTCCACTTCAGATTGAATTTAAGTTGAAGTAATTTGTTTATTAATCATAGTTTTTTCTAGATGAAAACATTTTGTTTGCTCCTCATTGTATTCTCGGGGTAAATATTTTACACTGATTTCTTCTTCGTGTTAGCACACAACGTAAATAAGACATAAGTTTATTAAAAGTAAAAAAAATATAAAAAATTACCCTAAATTTCCACTCATGATGATGACTTACACTTTATTTAGCCAAAACATGTAGAGTATGAAGATGGTTTACAACTTAGAAAACCCAAATATATACAGTATGAGGATGGCTTACACTTTAGTAAACCGAAACATGTAGAGTGTGAGGATGGCTTATACTTTAGTAAACCGAAACATGTAGAGTGTGAGGATGGCTTATACTTTAGTAAACCGAAATATGTAAATTATGAGGATGTCTATCACTATGGACAAAGTCGAAAAACTATAATCAACACAATGTTTAAAAAGTGCACACAAATTTATTAAAAGTCAAAACGAATGAAAATTGACTCTACGTGTTTCGGCTTACTAAAGTGATTAGACATCCCCATACTGTACTTGTTTCGGATCACTATTACTTAAACCTTTAACTACATATAGTTGATGTTAAGGTTCTAAAACTGTCAAGAGATGGCAGCAGCATGCAATGCTAATTTGACATTAATCTATCAAATTTTAATTCATATTCACAATTTTAAGCGCATATTTACAACTAACCCAAGGAGAAATATTTTATAGCTGTGAATTTTATAAGGCAACAGCAATCGATATAATTCATTTTAATCGAATTACAGCTGTGGTGAATATTCTTTCCAAGGTTAAATAACTTTTTTTTTCTTTTTTTAAGTTTTGTGTAATTGAAAGTGCTATATTATATTCATTATTTTTTCTTTCCTGGCTTCAAAAGGCATGAAAATTTAAAACTTTATAGACATGAATATATCAGCCAGTGACATATAGAGTGTTATCTTTAATATAATTATAAAACAACCTTTTCATGTCACTACATGTCGGCTTTTACGAGTTTTTAAGATTTGTTATTAATAAAACTATTACAGTTTTTTTAAAAACAAAGTTAAAGATAACTAGTTTTGCATTTTTTGCTTTTTCGAAATATTAAACAAATACTCTAACGAAAATGAGAAATTGAAATAGTTTTTGACTGAAGGAAATATTATCTCAATTACAGCGTCACCATTGAGAGAGAGAAGGTAGATGCCTTTATATATTTTATAAATATATCACATTTTTAGCAATGTCTTTGAGTATTTAATGTACGTTTTTATCTAAAATGAATATATAGTTAACCGCATAGGCGACAAAGATATCGAAATTAAAGAATAGGTTACACAATCGCCAAGTTTTTTTTTATATATGAAGAGAATGACGTTTCCGGTTAGCGCTTTTCGTCAGATCGTACAGCTTACAACCTATACATAGCTGTAAACTGTACGATCTGACGAAGAGCGCTAACCGGAAACGTCATCCTTTTCAAATATAAAAATGTAGATTTCATACACTATGTTCCACAGCATCTTTATATCAGCTGTGGTTGTTTGTTTGTAGTTCAACACAAAGCTACGGAATAGGCTATCTGTGTTGTGCCTAACACAAGTATCTACCTAGAACAATATTAAGTAGAACTAAAGAAACTATTTACGTGAATTTTAAGTAAAGAACGTGATAAAGAACATGGTTAGTTGTTTCGATTAATCGATTGCCAAATAAAACAACAAATTAGAAGAAACGTGGTATTGCAAAAGTCATTTATTAGGCTTGCTAATCTTTCAAAGATTGCGCGATATAATTATTTTAAACCAGATGTTTAGCGTTATAACCCTTCTGACTTATTGCCGAATCACTGGGAGATAGCTGTGGTAGCCATGTTTTAAAAGAACGTATTCAACCCTCAGTGTAGATCTTTAAAGCTAAAGAATTATAAATGTTTATACTTCTGCCTCTTTACTCTTTTAGTTCTGCCGACGTTTTACAGCGCCAGAAACAGCTTGAGAGGATTGAAGAAGAAAAGGCTAAAACGAAAATGGCAAAAGAAATTCAGAGGCGCCAGAGAGAAGAGGAAAAACGGCGGGTTGGTGGTCATTTTCTTTTATCATTATTTCTATTGTCTACTATGATTTGAAATGCATATACACTCATGAATAAATATGATTAAAAATACTAAAAAGATAAGTTAAAATAGTAAATTTTTCAGCTATAAAACTCCACAGATCTTTTTTATAACTAATATTAAAACTATCTTGTTCAGCTTTAAGGAAGTAAAGTCGTTAAACAAGAACATTATTTCTACGAAGAGTTACTTGATTAAACTGTGTTGTTTCCTTTAATATTACTCGCTTTATAAAGTGACTAAAAACAGCTTTCTAATAAGAACATTATTTCTACGGAGAGTTACTTGATTAAAATGTGTTGTTTCCTTTAATATTACTCTCTTTATAAAGTGACTAAAAAACAGCTTCCTAATAAGAACATTATTTCATCGAAGAGTTACTTGATTAAACTGTGTTGTTTCCTTCAGTATTACTCTCTTTATAAAGTGACTAAAAAACAGCTTCCTAATAAGAACATTATTTCTACGGAGAGTTACTTGCTAAACTGGGTTGTTTCCTTTAATATTACTCTCTTTATAAAGTGACTAAAAAGCAGCTTCCTAATAAGAACATTATTTCATCGAAGAGTTACTTGATTAAACTGTGTTGTTTCCTTCAATATTACTCTCTTTATAAAGTGACTAAAAAACAGCTTCCTAATAAGAACATTATTTCTATGGAGAGTTACTTGCTAAACTGGGTTGTTTCCTTTAATATTACTCTCTTTACAAATAAGAATATTATTTCTCCGAAGAGTTACTTGCTAAACTGGGTTGTTTCCTTTAATATTACTCTCTTTACAAAGGGACTAAAAAACAGCTTCCTAATAAGAACATTATTTCACAGAGAGTTACTTGATTAAACTGTATTGTTTCCTTTAATATTACTCTCTTTATAAAGTGACTAAAACAGCTTCCTAATAAGAACATTATTTTTCGAAGAATTACTTGATTAAACTATGTTGTTTCCTTTAATATTACTCTCTTTATAAAGTGACTAAAACAGCTTCCTAATAAGAACATTATTTCTACGGAGAGTTACTTGATTAAACTGTGTTGTTTCCTTTAATATTACTCTCTTTACAAAAAGATCCCAAGGAAATGCTACCGTTTCATCATGGGAGTAAAAGCTTTATGTTTTGTTTCATAGTTTTGTTAACTTTAATGAAATTAGTTAAGGAATTAATATTTGTTTTGATGTTTTATTATTACCATTCTATGTCCACCTAAAGTATATATTTCTCATTGTAATTCAGATCGCTTTACCAAGTTGATTTGAAAATACTAAATTCAGGGTTCTTGAATACTTGTATTAAATAATTTTAATTGTAGTTATATAATACTGCGCATTTATTGTTTTATTTAAATAAGATTTAATTGTATTTGTGATTAAGCTACTTGTTCTGTTTATCACATTAGTTAGTTATAGTGTTTGGTGATAAGTTGTACTGTTTTGATGTGTTGATCGTAACGTTTGGCTAGGAGCTCTACTGTTTAGATATGTTGGTCTTCATGTTTGGTTGATAGTTGTACTGTTTGGATGTGTTGGTCTTAATGTTTGGTTGATAGTTGTACTGTTTGGATCTATTGGTCGTAATGTTTGGCTGAAAGCTCTACGGTTTGGATGTGTTGATCGAAAGCTCTACTGTTTGGATGTGTTGATCGTAATGTTTGGCTAAGAGCTCTACTGTTTGGATATGTTGGTCTTAATGTTTGGTTGATAGTTGTACTGTTTGGATGTGTTAATCGTAACGTTTGGCTAAGAGCTCTACTGTTTGGATATGTTGGTCTTCATGTTTGGTTGATAGTTGCACTGTTTGGATATGTTGGTCTTAATGTTTGGTTGATAGTTGTACTGTTTTGATGTGTTAATCGTAACGTTTGGCTAAGAGCTCTACTGTTTAGATATGTTGGTCTTAATGTTTGGTTGATAGTTGTAATGTTTAGATGTGTTGATCGTATTGTTTGGTCGATAGCTCTATTGTTTAGACACACTATGATTAATAAACTTTAAAAATTTCCGTTTCTATGTAATAACTTCCAGGATATGGAGATGTTAATGAGTTATAATCCGTGGAACAAGCCAGGAGCCGGAGCTCCAAAGGTAAGCCATTCTCTTTCGTCGCAAAACTCTATCATTTAGTAAAATATAACAAATGGAATATTTCAAGTTTTTCACAATATAATTCATTACTTTTGGTATTATACACTATTAGCATTATAACAATTTGTAAGACAAGTCAAAATCAACCCCCTCCCTAACCGCAGTGATATGAAACACACATACTGATAAGACACAGTGCCTGATTAAAACTTCTCAAATATTGAACATTGTTAAGCTGTTAAATTTAGACTAATAGCCTACAGTTTACTTCCCCTGAAACAATCTAATATATAAGTTCAGTTGCCAATGAAGGATTTAGACTTTTTTAAACAAACAGCATGTTGCTAGTTAGAGTATATTAATGCATAAAGATTCCCTTCTTTGCCTACTGTCTTTGATGAATATAAAAACAAAAACATAGTATCTACATACAGAAACCAATTCGCTATCAGTTGACAACCAGATTTATAGTTATATTGATTGTTGTGGCATAGTGTATTAGAAGTCATTATATGACATCTCAGTCATAATTATGTATTCTTAATTGTCCATAATAAACCTGCTGTTCATCGCCTGTACTCAATCACAACATCGTCATCTTGAATGTTTATGATATATCATAACAACGTTCTGTTCATCATCAGTACTCAATCATAACAACATCCACTTTATTGTCTATAATATATCATAACAACCTTCTGTTCATCACCAGTACTCAATCACAACAACATCCGCTTCATTTTCTATAATATATCGTAACAACTTACTGTTCATCACCTGTACTCAATCACAACATCATCATATTCAGTGTCTATGGTATATCATAACAACTAACTGTTCATCACCAGTACTCAATCATAACAACATCCGCTTTATTGTCTATAACATATCATAACAACCTTCTGTGCATCACCAGTACTCAATCACAACAACATCCGCTTCATTTTCTATAATATATCATAACAACCTTCTGTTCATCACAAGTACTCAATCACAACAACATCCGCTTCATTTTCTATAATATATCATAACAACTTACTGTTCATCACCTGTACTCAATCACAACATCATCATCTTGAATGTCTATGATATACCATAACAACCTTCTGTTCATCATCTGTAATCAATCACAACAACATCCGCTTCATTGTCTATAATATACCATAACAACCTATTGTTCATCACCTGTACTCAATCACAAAATCATCATCTTCATTGTCTATAATAAACCATAACAACCTTCTGTTCATCACCAGTACTCAATCACAACAACATCCGCTTCATTGTCTGTAATATATATAATAACAACCTACTCTTTTTCGTCTTTACTCAGTCATAAGAACATCCTCTTCATCACTCAATAACAATAACCTACGATTTATCATCCTTACTCGATTATTTCTACCCGTCATTCGCCATACTCAAAAATAATGTCCTATTATTCATAACTTCCTTAACCATAATGACCTATCCTTAATCTTGAATTGAAAGACATTTATCATCTAAATCGAACATGTTTTTTTTAAAAAAAAATAAACTGCATTTCAGTATCATTTGTAGTTAAGTAAAAACAAATAAGTTAAGGCTCTCCAAAATATGACTTGATTAAATATGAAAGTACATCGATAGCGTAAACAATGTACTACATAGGTTGGGTACGTTATATTAAAACCATTTTGGAGCCTCACTACGTCGTTACAGTCCATGTTGCCACGTACAATCACGCAGTATCTGACAACCGTGAATAGTGACAATAGTCCTGCTACGTAGAATCCATTGTCCAATGCGCAACCCTTTCTTTCCGCGCCCTTCCATAGTCCACCTGGCGTAGTAGAACGTCGTTTTTAAGTGCCTATTTCAGCAGTCCGATCGCACAGATATCCATAGACACTGCTTCCAGTAGAATGGCTTGAATACCCGTTTTATTCTCCCTCTGCTTGAGTTATATGAGGGTGGAACTGATATGTTGTGGAAGTAACTTTTTTACATGTGAATTATGCCGTTTTTCCGAGACTGTGATCCTTCTTATGTTGTATACTGTTGCCTGGGCCACATGGACAGCTTTTGCCACTGACCTTTGTGTTCGTGGGTTCTCACCTGTTACAGAACGCCGCATTTTGCTTATTACAACTTGTGTTCGACTTGTTGGAGGTCTCTTTCTGGATGTCCGTGGTGCCCCAAGTTGATCTATGTTCCGTTAAATACAAGTAATTTTCCCGCCTTGGAAATTTTAATTCTCCGATAAGAACAAATTTTTATGATTTTAGTATATGAACATTGTGCGTCGGGAGGGGCTCATTACATACCATTCCCAAGAGTAATCAGTTTTCACTGGCATCACAGTACCTACGAAATGCCAAGCAATGTGAAAATGTACTTCCGATATATGCATTTTACCGCGATTTTATGTCGGTTGTAATTGTCATGTGACTTATTGATTTGCATATTCAAAATAGTTTTAATATAACGTACTCAAACCTCTATAATAAAATAATTTTGAAAATTGATGAAATAATTATTGCCATAGTTGTGTCCCCCCTCACGTGGCACAGCGGTACGTCTACGGACTTACAACG